CAGTCAAAAAAACACTATATAGGATGTGAAATAGAGAATGATTGCAATCTTCACGAGAAGATTTTGGGTATGTTATACAAGTATAGTATGGAGATGAGCTTTCAGGATGTGGTATGTAAAGAGCCAAGTACAGTTTAGATTAGATGAGGATGTAATCATTCTCACACTTCCATAAACAGTTTCAGGGTAGTGCTTGTATTACTAACATTACAGAAACAACATTTGAATCCCAGTGTTCATGAAATCACTATCAATAGTCTGGCACTTCAATGCAAACTCTATAGTGAGAGCACACATAGTACAGTGCATCTAAGAGTGGAACTACAAACCATGGCTCTTCGGTCAATGTAATTTTAAATATGATTGTTTAACCTAATTCCATATCTTATGGAACTTCTAGCACTTCTAGGTTTTTAAGGGAATTTTGACCAATACTCATTTAATTATTCAACCTGGTAATAGTAAAAGATGCAGGTTTACTGGTTTTCTCGCGAGAGGTGTTGCCTGTACGCTGATTAGAGAGATCACCTTTGTTCTATGTCTATTATAGTACTCAATATAGGAGTTTAAATGTTGTTTTATGTGTTTATCCACAGAGAAAATATGGCGTTGTCATTGATGAAATCAGATCGTCAGCAGGATCAGAGCTACAAGCAGTTAAGATGTTTGCCAATTACCTTGCAAATCCAGATAGAAGGTGAGAATATTTTGGCTTTTGATGAAAACTTGTATTCTTTATTGAGTTTGGCTTCCATGTATGCAAAATAGCTAATTTAAATACTAAGTTCATGCAGCTGTTTTAGCTTTTTTTTTTTTTCATACAAATGCAAGAAAAGGAAAAAGATCAGTGCACATTCTTTGACCAGAAACAAATTTTGTTGTTGTCAGGGGTACAAATAATTTGCATATTTAACTTTTAATTAACATACTGAATGATTTTCAGTTCATGTTTGGTAAAATCATCAATGACTCTCTTTTATTGTTTTTAGCAACCTCGTCATTGTTAAAAATTTGAATAATAATACATGTACCTTGTTGCATACTGTTATTAGTCCCCGAAAACGGGGACTTATAATTCGGTCTCCGTCCGAGCATCTGTGCGTCCGTGCGTCATATCTCAAATCCCTTGGACCGTTTCCATTCATTCTTTGCATGTGCCTAGTACTTTATCTGGGACATATGCACATGCAGTGGTTTAGCAATTCGATTCAAAATGGCCGACGGGCAGCCATCTTGTTTTTTGAAAATGTTGTATTTTGGACATGCTTTGTCAGTTTTCATTCAAATTTGGTACATAGATTATACATGTTAGGATACATGTCCATGACGATTTATTTCACAATTGGATCAAAGATGGCCGACTGGCAGCGGCCAGCCATCTTGTTTTTTGAAAATGTTGTATTTTGGACATGCTTGTCAGTTTTCATTCAAATTTAGTACATCGATCATACATGTTAGGATACATGTCCCCGATCGTTCGTGAGTTTCTGAGATTGTCTGTCTGTCTGTCCGTTCGTGCGTCAGTGCGTCAGTCTGTCAATAGTAACATTTCAGAATCCTGTGGACCGATTCCGTTCATTCTTTGCATGTGCCTAGTACCTTATGTGGGACATATGTACATGCAGTGGTTTAGCGATTCAATTCAAAATGGCTGACTGGCAGCCATCTTGTTTTTTGAAAATGTTGTATTTTGGACATGCTTTGTCAGTTTTCATTCAAATTTGGTACATAGATTATACATGTTAGGATACATGTCCATGACGATTTATTTCACAATTGGATCAAAGATGGCCGACTGGCAGCGGCCAGCCATCTTGTTTTTTGAAAATGTTGTATTTTGGACATGCTTGTCAGTTTTCATTCAAATTTAGTACATCGATCATACAT